GTAGCATGTCGATGCGTTTCTGCACGAGGTAGACGGAGGTTCCTCTGAACCTGCGAGGAGGAGAATGACGTCAGAGATGGGAAGCTGAGGGAGCGAGGAAGGCGAAGATGAAGAGGAAGAAGACGAGGACGAGGGATAAAGGGAGTAAGGCGGGTGAGTGGGGAAGAGAAAGGCGATGGGCGGAGATTGAGGGCTAGGAAAATGAGGGCCAGGACACGGTGGTGGTGGAGGAGGAGCAGAACGAGGAGCAGGAGCAGGAGCAGGAGCAGGAGCAGGAGCAGGGGAGAAGAAGCAGGTGCAGGAGCAGGAGCAGGAGCAGGATCAGGGGAGAAGAAGCAGGTGCAGGAGCAGGAGCAGGAGCAGGGGAGAAGAAGCTGTATCATCTTGTTCACCTCGCCTCCTCGTCGAGCGGGTTGTTGGGAGCCACAAAGTGGGTGACGTCAGCGATGTGAACTCCCATCTCCACCCTCCCCTTCCCCAGCGGCTTCACGTGCAGAGCGTCGTCAATGTCCTTGCAGCCGGGGGATCGATGGAGCAAACCCTGGTGCAAAGGTCAGAGGAGGGATAGGAGGGAGAGTGAGGCGAGAAGAGGAGGAGCAGGGAGTTGTGGATCACTGGAAATGATATCTTCCTTCCATCCTCTCTCCCTTCGCTCTCCTCTCCCTCCCTCCCTCCCTCCCTCCCTCCCTCCCTCCCCTCCCTCCCTCCCCTTTTCCTTCCCTCCCCTCTCCACACAACTCTTGCCCCACCTGTATCCCTCCCGCAGATCCACGCGCTTCCTGATCTCCTCCTCAGGCACCTCCCACTCCCCGTTGGGCCCGACGGGAGGAAGGAGCTTGAAGACAGCAGGAGCAAACTCTCGGATGCACACGTCGTGCTCGATCAAGATCACCTCGCTTTCGCACTGGATGTCCCCGATGTCCCCGATCGTCCTCACGTAGTGCCCGCTGGGGAACTTCGAGTCTGCCTCCCACGAGTCGATCGCTACCAGGATCCTCTTCTCCAGCAGCTCCTCCACCTGCCGCGTGAAGATGCGGACCTTTGGGATCTGCTTGCTCACGGGAACGAACAGGACGTGCTTGTCTCTGGGGTTCAGGGGGGGCTCGATGCTGCCGCAAAATGGTCGCCATGCTCGCTTCATGATCCCCACGACCTTGGCCGTCGGTCGGAGGTCAACCTCACTCACTGTCTCCTCCTTGGCAGCGTCTTTCTCCTTCTCCTCCTCATCTAGCTCCTGTACGATCACCTGCCTCGGCGCCCTCCACTGATCCTTGGGTAGGATCTCGACTACAACCTTGTCCAGCTCCATCGCTCTGTTCAGGTTCAACCTGCCGGATACCAGGAGGTCGCGGGAGCTGCTTCCTGTGTCCTTATCCTTCCCGTGCTTGTCGTCCTTCTTGGCACCGTGCCTCGTCTCCGTCGGAACCACCCAACCCTCCGTCGCGTTGTCACGAGCCATGTGCAGGGTCCCGATGACGAACCGACCCTGCCTGACCCCATCCTGGATCTCCATGGCGGAGAGATGAGGAGGATAGCTCACTTCCTTGCCGTCGGGCTTCCTCGCTGCATCCTCGTCCGCCTGATTCGTCGCCAGGTACTCGCTGTATTTGGCTGGGAGGTGCTCCTTGGTGAAGTCATGCACTGTGTAGCATGAAATCCCCTGCTCGATCGCTCTCGACCTGCAGTCTCTGTCGTTGGTCAGCAGGAAAACCTCCCGCTCTCCCTCGAGCTGCCTCTGGAACCATGCTGCAGCTACTCGGATGGCCCGGTCGTTGCAGTCGTTGGGGCTCTCTCCAGGAAGCTCCTTGACAAAGGTATCGTTGTGGTGCTCGTTGGCGAACACGAACACCCTCCTTCCGTGAGCTTGCGCCATGCCCTTCAACCTCTTGTACATGGCGAGGTTTCTATGCTTGACCTCCGACAGCACCGTCTGAAGCAGGATCACGTTGCTCAGCACACCCTCCGAAGTTGTCACTTCCAAGAAGTCCATCTGGTGGAGGGCGACATTGGTGTCTATCACCACACACCTCCCATCCGACCATCCGCCATCGGGCTCGGTAGGAAGATCATCTCGAAGGTAGTGCTCTCGTATCACTTTCTTGACAACTCCCCTCCTGGTTTTCTTGATGAAGATTTTGCTCTGCCGATCCATCTTTCCGGTCCTCTATGAGCTATACGATCTCCCCCACCCCTGATCAAGCTCTCCTCTCTCCTCTCTCCTCTCCTCTCCTCTCCTCTCTCCTCTCTCCTCTCTCCTCTCCTCTCCTCTCTCCTCTCTCCTCTCATTTGATTCATTCTGGTCATCCAACATCCGCGGTTCGAACAGTCGGTCACTGGCCTCGCAGGCTGGGCCCGGCCACGGCGGGGCCCCGGAAGGCCAAGGGTCGGGCCCCGGGCCGGGCCCGGAGCAGACCCGGTGGGCTGCGATGGACTCACCCTAGAGGACATTCTCGTCCTTTGACTCGGATAGCAGCCGCCGATTTATTAGTATTTAAAAGTCAGTACTACCGTAGACAGTAGTATAATTTTTAAAACTTTCATCCGAACAGAGACGGACCGTCTGTTTTACTTATAGCCGGATACCTAATCAGAAATCATTTTATCAGTACTATTGCGACTGTTATAATCATATACACAACATGGTACAATATCTCTCTAAATTGAATATACGGAGAGGTTGCTGGTACGGCAAGATAATAAAGATTTTTACCATGTACTTTACTACTTTTAGTCCAGTGATGTCGTACTGGTAGCTACCGCAGGCTTGTGACCTGGGGTGGGGGTGACTACCCCACCCTATGAAGAATGGGTGGTGGGAGGATTTTGTTGAAAATGACCGGGTTGGGGCTATTTTCATCCCCCCTTTTCCCATTGAATATCCCTAGGTCCCCCCTAGGGTACCCTAGTAAACTCGGAGTAGGATCGGGGTAGGTGGCTAGGAAGGGGATCAGGGGTGGGGAGGAGATGGGGTCTTGTTCTATTTCGGGTTTTTTTTTTCAGGGGTACAAAAGGACAAGGGTAGGAGCGGTAGAGCAGCGGAAGCATGTTCTCCTGCCTTGCTGAGTCTGGTGAGTGTGGATGTGGGAGGAGGAGGAGGAGGAGAGAGGAGGAGGAGAAGAGATATGGACGCGAAGAGAGAGGAGATGGTCGGGTAAAGATGGGTCGCATGTTGTTTTGGAATGTCAGGAGGGATCCTATCTGCCGTGCTGTGCATTTGTGGCTGTTGAGGTGGCACAGTGTTTTCTTGAGAGCTGCACAAACAAGTGTTGTTTTTCTATCTCAACGATTGTTCTGTCTTGCACATGGTTCCTCGTTGTTTTGGAGCATCTTTGCTGACTTGTGATGGCAGTTGCCTTCGATACCGGCTATGCCGGCTCCAGCGGCATCCAGCCGCAGTCCTGGGTGAACGGCAACGGAACCTCCTACATCTACTTCGGTTCCGGCCAGTTCGACGGACAGGGCTCTGGACATGACTACATGGGCACCGTGAGTTTTTCCTCTTCTGATGTTGTTCTCCTGACTATCTCTTCAGCTCTACATGCCCCCAACCGGCTACGTCAACAACTGCGATGGTGGCCGCAGCCACACCTATTGCGATTACCGCCAGGAGTAAATGGTTGGAATAGAATAAAACTAAGAGTCAATCATTCTCTGTCTCTCTTTGACTATCTTTCGGTCTGTCTGTATTTTCACATGTCTGTTTGTACATCTTGTACACGTAGCTACACCACAAGGGTCTCATCAAGATCGTCGATCTGCTGCGAGGTCCTCATCTGCCGCACTTGCGTCCTGCAAGAGATGTCAAGGAGCAACCAAACAGCACCTACGTCCACTTGCCTCAGCTCGTTCCGCTGCCTCCTCAACCGCTGAGCCTCTCCCGTATATTCGCTCCTCAGCCTTGCTGCTGAGATTCCAACCTGCTCCTATCGCATCAGAGGTGAAGACAGACGGGAGGTGTATGACGGCAGGACCGTAGCCGCGGCTTGTCGCGAGTGCTCCTCGCTCTGAAGCAAGTACTCGATGCGCAGATCTCGCCGTATCACCTGGTGCCACGTCACGAAAGGGAGCAGGAGAGGACAAGAGGAGAGGACAGAAGGGGACGAGAGGAGAGGAGGGGAGAAATGCGAGAAAAGAGAGGAGGCAACAGGAGGAGGACGATGCCTTGTCTTTCAGCACTGCGATCTCCTGCTGCAGCTCTTGGATCATGCCGTCCTTGCGAATCTGTGTGCCCTTCACGCCATTCCCGCTCCTCATCTCCTTAAGGTCCTTGTACACCTGCACCTCACGCTCAGTTGCAGGCGCGCGCAGCAGCAGCTCCAACAGCTTCGCATCTTGCCGTCGCCTCGTCCCGCTCCTCCTTCACCTCCTGCAACTCTGCTTGCAGCCGCTGGTACTCGTTCCTGAGCTCCTCGTAGGCCAGGTGGCAATCCTGGTGCTCGGCCTTGAGCAGGCTGAGCATATCCATGCACTGCTGCAGGGTCGTCTTGGAGTAGCAGACGCTGCTGCTCTGCACCACCACCGACGCGCTCAGGCCCGTCAGGAGGAGCTCGAGGCGCTCACAGCATCTCAACGAGCCGAGGACGAGCGCCTCCAGCTGCTCTCCTCCTGACTCTGCTGACTGGATGGCCTGCATGCCTTCCTGCCTCGCTGCCTCGGCCTCCTCCCCTGCCCGCCTCGCCTCCCTCCTCGCCTCCTCCACCTCCTCCCGTAGCCTCGCCTCCCTCTCTGCCCCCTCCTCCCTCGCCTCCGTCGCTGACCGCCGCTGGTCCGCGAGCTCCCGCGCCTGGAGCTCGATCTTCCTCTCGAGGTCGGAGGCGAGAGACTGCTGGTAGGAGATGTCGAAGACGAAGCCGTCCTGTACTCGCCGCAGCTCTGCCGCCAGCTCCGCTACTTGCACCAGCACTAGCTCTGCATACGACTGACACAGGCTGTCCCCGAGCGCGCGATGCTGGTTCGACG